GCCACGCCATACCACGCCGAACGGAAGCGCCAACGGATCGACCTCGAGCTCCAATCGCAAGAACAGAGCCATGTCCGTGAGAAGCCTGCACCGGCGCGTCTCTCACCCGTAAGTCACTTAATTCCATTGTTCACCTTAGTTTTGCTGATTAAGTTGGATGACACGCGGCTGACACGCGAATGGGATCGAGATTGCTAGAGATAGAGAAAGTAAACAGGCTAAGCTCAGAGGAATTCTGTAGAATATAATAGATTCTATATGCTATTTAAATACCCAAATGTGTATGTGTTACGATTCTTAAGTTTAATAAAAAAATCAATATCGATATGTATAAACTTTTGCTTCAATTTTGTGCTACAGTTTTTTTTTTAAATATTATAATTCTTTTCGCTTTCTGAAACAAGAATAAGACTGAGATATAATAATTCGAGAATAATAACGGAGCTAAATCTAAGAAACATTATATACTTGTACATACTTGTACACATTTGTATGTTATGTGGATATTCGAATATCCTACTGAGCCATCCTGCCAAATTTCGTAGAAATACCTGGAAAAAGCAACAATAAAATCGTTTTGTGAAATTGGTCACGCTGTCGTCAGATTCTTATTCGATATAAAAATAGATATAGGAATTTTCTACCGTTTGGATTTGGGAACAGAAATCTGTTGACAGCTTGGATTGATCGATTCGGTAAAGCAATTGTCTGGTAAAGATCCGGATTCGAATAATAGTCCGATAATCCGGTTGAATGGTCTTTTTTTCTTTATGAATTGAACATAGGGAAAAATGACAGAGGAGAGATTTGAATGGTTCAACTCGGTCTAATTTCCTGTACCCGAACTTTCCCGCAACTAAGATTCCGCAGGCTTCCACAAGTTAAATGTTTTTGCATTTAAGATTTCCTTGTAAATTGTTTTCTCGCGGAAAATTCTTTTATCGTTTCTCCAATATTAAAATCCTATTTATTACTCTAGTTTCAAATTTTTTCTCGGCTAATTAAAATTACAAGTTCTTTATAAGCAATTAATGATTTAAAATAATTTGTTTAAATTTTTATTGCGTAAAATATTCTGCAAAGGATATTACGAAATTTACACGACTGGTTTATTTCCCTCGATATAAAGGCAATACTAAGCATATACTAAGTAGTATAGATCAACCATATTTCCTTTTTTACACGATTCTTCGCTATTACTACTAATTTTTAATTTTTAAAATACCTAGAAACAAATTCCAGATCGATTCAACATTAAAAAGGATATGTACATGAATTTAGTGATAATTCTATATAAAATTATTGAATCACTTTATTATTTATATAATTTAAGGAGTTTCAAACTTTCACCGTCTGTTTAACCAGAGATAAAAACGAATCCACGTGAAACTAGAAATTGCCCAAGCAGAACTAAAAAGGATCCTTCTCCAAGAACTCTGAGCTTAACGAATATCAAACACTCTTTGTAGAGCCAACATTCTTAACACCCCAGCATCTCCGTCGCATTGTACGCGGCGTAATTAGAAACGAGACTGGAGCTTCTCCATTCACGTAAATTTCATTCTATCCAGAGTCGACGTTATTACGCATCTTTCTAGTCGTATGTATTGCTATTTACTGGTTATAATACGTTTCTCGATCCCATCCGTGGAGCGTCTAGAGTGTATAGCAGCAACGCTTCAATCCTTTGACGCTCGCGAAACTGACGATTACTCGAAGCTAAAAACTGATAACTGGATGGCGGAACTTGCATTCGTAGTTTAATTCTGGCAGAACCGAGCCTGTTTCCCGAGGCGTGCTCTTGCCTGTCTGCTTCATCTATTTTCCACGAATTTTGCTTCAGAATGACGCGTTTATAAATATAACTATCGATCTGCGCTTATTCCAGTCACTGGCAGTAAAAATATTATGTCGGAGAGACATAATGCTGGTTTTTTTTTCGAGCGGGCGCATCAAGCAAAACCGTCACGGCCCGTAATCGGCACGCCTCGAAAAATTGAGCGCGTTTCTTTAGTCAGAGAAAAAAGAAGGAAAAAAAGAGGCGAACTTCCGTTTAAATCGGGAACGATCGATCCGACGGCGCCCGATTCCGAGGATCTTTCCCACCGATTTTCGCTCGCATGAATGAGATTCGTTTCGCTCGAAAACGGATGACTCACAGGCCCTAATAATCGCCTCCTACGAGTCTTTCACGCGAGTTTTATCCCCGTTGTTGTGAGACTGCAAGTTGAGAAACTTTTTCTTTTTCTTAGTGCATTCTTTTTTATGCATTTTTGCTCGCGCGTTAATAATGTATTATATAGAAGGAAAATGAAATCATAATACAACTATATAATTTGTGTATCTCTTGCGTAAAAGTAAGTTTGAGTTTTTTTTTACTGGGGAGATTTGGTTTTGTGTCAGTGGTATTTTATCGAGGAGTTTATCATGTTGGAGATTATTTACTCTTAGGTTTTCTGTCCTTAAGTAAATGGAGGGAGAAACTGTTACTGTCTGTGCTGAACGATCTGATTCTCCTTAAGCTGTGCACTTACGCTTCTTGCTGTGAAAAAATTTGTCCTTAACGACAATCTTTATGTACATATAAATGATTAGAATAGCATTATCAAAATTATTAATTGTAGTTACAATTAAAATAGTTCATGAGAAAATTTCCAACTTCAGTCATAAAGAATGATCTCGTCTTAGAAAGAATTTTCCAGTTGTGCTATAATTTCTTATACCGTTTTACTACAACATAAAATAGTATTCTACTACAACTGAACTTTAACTGGACAATTTTATCGCAACTACGACTTCTTCCATTCTCTCTACTAGTATTTTCAGTCACGTCAGGTAGTACTTGCTTCCTTCTGAAATCTACGATATTATTATTAACTAGTATCAAATACTTCATCACTTACTGCATTAAAATAGTCTCCGATAATCTATAAATTATGCACGATAAACCTTCAAGCGAAACCAGAATAACTCGAAGAATTAAAAATTAAATATTCCTCTCCACGGTCGTTCACCGTTTCGTTTGAGATCCCGTTCACGGTGCGGTTTCTCTCGTATTTCCCCAGTTTCCGGTGGCCTGTACATCGCCATAGATCTCTAGGGAGTGATATACGCACTGCTCAGAGGCCGTCTAAAAAAAGCTCACGGCGCGAAAATAGGCTCGCAAATGCGGCGCGCGTTTATCAGCGCGGCAAGGCAAATGCGCCGCCCCTCGTGCGTCAACAAAGTTAGTCGCGTGTTAGCCTTTGAACAAGACAAAACAAACTGATGCACTGCTCAAAACAATTAGGGGAAACTATCTGCGCGGCGTATCGCCGCCCTCCTGAAAGAAGTATTGTCCAACCTGGCTACAATGCGGGAATTAATTGATGCGCACCCTGTTTCTCTAGAATCTAGGTGACAGTCAGTTTCCTCCAAATCGACTGTGACCGGCTGATAGCTTCGGCCTGGAATATATACAGACATTGTTCCACAATATCTGTTTTTCATTTCACGTTTTGGGGAAGAAGTGGATTTCTTTTTTCGAATTGATTGCAGTTTGTCGCAGGTCATTTCGAAGGTTGTTGTGTATTTTTGTATAAACTTTATTACGAAAATCATATACAGAGAAATAAGTTTAGCCATTTTTACTAACTTCCTACCATCGTTGCCATCAAATCTTCGATATCTAGTTCGAAACATTCGGTAGCGTTTGAATTGAAGAATGTAACCATTACAGTCTTTAGTACCTCGCTATCGTTGAATCTTTTTCAACGTAGAAAATTATTTAAACTTTTTAATAGGTAATAACTGGAAGATACAATAGCAGGAGGTATAGTGAAACTTCCTGTAATAATTTGTTCCAATCAGAAGTGAGAAAGCAAATAGTATTAAATAGGAAGGAAATTTAGAAACTCGAACGTTCGATAACTTAGAAATTTAACAGTTGTACTCAGCACTATAGAATTTTACATATTTTTCCTTTTATACTACATCACTTTAAAAAAAACTAACTTCTTTCTCAAGAATTCTCATTCCATGTCTGTCTGCCTTACTTATTTCGAACAGTGTACTCGTAACAATCATTATCTTCTATTGTCATACCAAGTATCGTATCTGATAGCTATATCACAAACTACCATGTAAATCTAAGAAAAACTGGAAGAATGTTTGATACCGGTCAAACCTAGCTTGAGTCGCCATTAACCATTATCCAAAGTCAATTACCGCGAGCTTATAGGACGTGACTCGGCGCAACGGGCATGGGATAATGACTAACAGGTTGCCCGGTGGCGTGGAGTCGAACATTGCAGCGTGAACGCCCGCTTTTAACGACGTCGATTAATTCTCGCGATAAAACGTCGAAACGTCTCTGTTCAACGTGCCATACGGATTGATCGTTGAAAATGGAGCATGCCGCTTAGATTCGTTCTCTGCTAGTAGCCAACAGCTTCAGGCTTCGGGAGAAATCGTGGCGCGATCGAAACGCGTTTTCCTTTTTCTTTCTTTTTTCCTTTTTTTTTGTCATTTTTGTGAAAGCGACACGGTTACGTAATATCTGGTTGAAAAAGGCGACGAAATTTCGCTACTAGTCCGCTTGTTCCCTTTTTCCTCCGTATCCTTCCAATCGCCGTTAGATCCTCTATCCAGTTGAAAACGTCGCTGAAGAACGAAATTGTTGCCGCAGGCTGGATTCACACTTGGCCGTGTCATCGCGAACGCTTTGTTCTACGGTTGATACGCTTTATCGGGCCTATGCAAATATTCTTGCGTTAAATGGCGCGTTAAATCCGTGTTGAGCTGCTCCATTAACGTCGGTAAACTTCTGAACCGCATCTTCCTTGCGAAAAATTGCCAAGCCAGATTGCACGTGCTCCTGCTCGATCAGATGCAGATCATTTTCACGTGGTTTTGATGTGCATGCTAAGGTTTAACGATTTTTCTGTAAGTTGGAGCAGTCATTTGAGCGAAGCATAGAGAGTAAAGATTAAATGAAACGAAATACTTAACAAATTGAGTGATGCATCGTTTAAAATAATTGTGTATATATTTCCAAGAGGATCGATCGTTTGTGAAGCTTGGTGCAATGTTACGCGTTGTTTGATTCGTCTTGTAATTACTTGGAATAA